ACCAAGCTAACAGATTACAACACTGATGATGCACAGTGAGTCACTGCGGTAGCTTCCGAATAGGCGCAGGAAGAACTGGTGTGTTTGTGCAAGGGCCGGCGACAGCTCCCAGTCGTCGCCTCCAGGGCAGCGACGGCTGAGGTGGCAGGAAGGAGGAAGTGCAATAGCTGATCCTCAACCAGCTTTTTTTCTTTAGAAGGAACGCTTGCAATGGTCAAAATGGCAAGCGTCTTGTCCCCTCCGGGATATCGAAAAGTGAGATTAGCGTGGCGGCAGTTGGTTTAAGCTGAGAAGGGGGGCTGTCCAACATACTGAACGAGACTACACACAAACGCGTGTCGAGCGGTTCGTATGGACCTCTTGAAGTGCGGTGGCAGCCGAGCGCCATTAGCGACGATGTCCACCACTAGCCCAAGGGTACAGTGGTGGAATGCGCGTGAGCAGGGTTATAACGGCAGAGACACGCCCAGCGCCTGCTTCACACACCGTCTTTCCAAACCTACACCCTTTTAAAGGACAAAACAAAGTCACGGACACTGGGGATAAGTGTGGGGGCGGTGGCTGACGAGGCTGCCCCACGGACAGCGGACTTCGAAAAAGGACTCACTGCACACTGACCGTCATTCCAGAGAAGGAGCCATTGCAGTTTGGCTCTCTGTCCTCCTCCTAGGACCTGTCTCTCCAATCAGTTGACAACCTCCCAAGCCACGGCTTTCAGCGAACCATGAAAGACTGAAACGCGTCGGATTGTTTATAGTGGGGAATATACACTGAGACCGTCGATATCACTTTCTCTCCCCACTCCTGGGCACCAGTCCGCTGTCTGAGCCGGTCAGATGTCTGATGAGCGAAGCGGTCGCGGTGGCTGACAGAACTACAGATAGGGACGATTTTCGCGGTTCTTGATGTCATCTCCCCCATTTCGACCTCAAGCGGTCTGTCGACGCTCACGGCGGAACCCTCTACATTCGCCGTCTACTAATAGTTTGGTCGTATCCCCCTTCCCCACTCCTCGGCTGGGCTCGAAGTAGACTGTGGCCTATCGCGTTTGGGTTCCTCTCGTCTGGCCACTTTGACGCGAATAGTCTTATCCGGTGTATCAATCCTGCCCTGACGGTGTCCGTTCTGAATCCCTTATACAATACCACATGTAGACCAATTCTGTCTGACCAGCATACGTACCCCTCAAGGCTGACATTTATTTCTGCCCTGAAGATGTCTGATTATAATCCGTTACATACCGCTACATGCAGGCCAGTCCTGCCCGCACTTTTGTGTTATTATGAGCGACGGTTTTTTTCGCCTGTAAAATAAGTCCAATCATTTTTCAATTCTTAAGTGGTTTTTTTCAGTACTCGCTCATCATTTTCCTTAACGAACTACAAATTCAGAAATTATGAATTGCATTTTGTATAGATTCTGTCTACCTCGTCTAAAATTCATATGTAAATTTATTTTTACTTGCTTTGATGGAATCCCGAGGGGTCTTTAATAAAAAATTAATTATTTATTTATCTGCGCGCGCCACACGCACGACCTGGCAGATCTTGCCCCCGTGGTGAACCGGCGCATTTACCGCGTGACCCTTGTTAGAGGCGCGAGAGGGCTACATAATCTGATATAAGCGCCACGAGCTGCCATTCCAGATGTGGAGTAAGTTCACTCAGAGGGGAACTCCGCGAAAACGTGGGGTTGCGTAAACGATCTACCAGCAAATATGCTAACTGTCTAAAAGCGGCTGTCACAAAGATGCTAACTAGTGGGGGTAGGGTTATACACTTCATCAACTGCCGCTTTTGCAGTCGAAAAATGAGAGATTTGTCAGTGTTTGTGAGTTAAACCCGAAACAACCCCTACTCATTGTCAGTTTACCGGCACAAGCAAAGAGGTGAGTTGCGGGGGGGGGGGCAGGATAAGACTCAGTCGCTAGACCAAGACTTTTATTAGTCTGACGTTTCAGACTCACGGTCGAACCCATTAGCAGAGACAAATTCAGATAAGAATGATGGATGCGCAGAGATTGCGACATTCATAGGGAGCATAGGCCGACGAATTCATCGGAGAGGACTGCACTTTCTCGTGCGATGACGACCTGATAGCCGCAGTTACGTTACCAGAGTAGATAACTGGTGTGACAATTAGCTGGCAATTTGGATCACTGAGGCAGTTTTCGTCTTCACACCTCTGTGATGCCATCTTTGATGACGGGTTTGGGGCGCGAATTCAAAACGTGCGGCAAATAGCATTCTTGCTCCGGCCGACAGATTGCTGGGCAGAGAGACGGCGAGCGGCACGCACTTTCGACGCTAAAAACCTGGTAGAGCCTACTGATGCACAGTAGTAGGCCTTATCTGTTGAAATGTTAACTGCAATTCCGCCTTGTTTTCGATTAGAAAAGATTACTTGGGCGGGACTGTAGTGTTGGTTATCGTGCAGCAAACAGTTACGCCAGGACGTCGGCTTAGGAATGGGTTCCTTTCCGGCCGTCTGCAAAGACCGTGCTCGGTAAAAAAAATCACTGCTTGAGGAGTATGCATTTCCCCCAGTAATACTCGATAGTCTTGTTAATTCAAATATATTTTGTAAAAAACAGGCGCAAAATACTCTTTTTTTACACTCATAAGGTAGCAAATTGAGACTTCTTCAGACTTTGTGTTTGAAGTAAAGGTGTATTTAGGTTTCAAGAAGCGTGTAATAATGGGACTTCAAAGAGATTGAAATGTCCATTCATACAACAGCATATCTACCTGCTACTTATGAGGTATGCAGCATGGGTCACATCCATTAAGAAATTCCACGAGCCATATGTGACGTCTCTTTAATGGTGTGTAGAAATGTATGATTTTCCCTTCACGGAAAGCATACAGCGCGTAGTTTAGAAATCCAAAGCTCCAGTGCAACTGCAGGCGAGGTGCGAGAATATTCGGTAATCGAAAGTTTTCAAAACCGAAAGATATCCTTTCTGCAAGCATATAATTTGCAGAAGACGTAATTTTCTACCAAATGTGTACAAGCAATAATACTTCTGCGGTTGTTTTTTTAAAAATAAAATAAATATTTAATTTAAAAGGGCAACGAAAGGCAAAGGGACGAATTCTTCCTGCTTAAGTATTGATTTTTACCGAGTGTGGTTTGTGCAGACAGTTGGGAAAAAAACGTATCCAACAGGCGGCTTCCTTCCTGGCTTGACTGAACTATCTTGGGATTATGCTGCATGATGATCAAAATTACAATCCCAGTTAGGTAATCCCTTCTAGTAAAAAAAAACATTTCAGAATTTCGACTAATACTTCATGAGATAGGCCGACTATCTTAGTTGATAAGAGCGGCATTCGGCGTGTGACGTGTGCTCCCCTTCGGACGCAATGCCTACTCCCCGCTCATGATAGCATAGGATAAACCATGTTTTCTCGGTGGACCGAGGAAGGAAACACCCCCATCCGCGAAAAAAATCCATCGCTCTTTCGATAAAATTGCATCTTTCAGTACCGAAGAGGGTTAGCTGGAATGCGCAGTCCAGCACGAAAAGGTAAACAACAACGCGGTGATTAACCCCTCATTTCTTGTCTTCAGGTCACGTAGCCGAGCTGAAGGTACGACGGTGTGACGCCAGACAGCTGTTAGGTCCTTAAAATAGGGCCACAGCCCCCCAGCCTCTGCAGCAGCAGGAACCAGTTGGTCTAGGTGACCGACTGAGGGTTTTGGTCCATCGTGCAGCGAAGGTCTCCGCTACACAGACAACAGATAAATGCAGAGGAGTGTGGACAAAACTGCATGCCGCTAGAGTTCGCTTGGTTAGGACAGCCAATGAATCAGAGTGCGCCTGTTTCTACAAGAACGCGATGTGGTGTACTCCGTCAGCTCTAAGGCCCCGGGATGGTGGGTCTGTTGAGAGGCGCAGGTGGACGACAGACAAGGCCTAGTGCTACTAGTGAGCAGAATCGGCTGGTTACAGTGTGATGGTAGCTCGGATGTCGCGAATGACTATGTCCACAGTGTGCCCTAGCACGTGATGGGAGCAGGGCCGTGATTTAGGCGTTAAACATATGTCACACTCTCACAGGCCCAAAAGGCGGCGGGCATAGGGTGGTGATTTGTGCGGGAATTTTTTTATAGTTATGGCAGGCTTGTGAAGCATCTGTCACACTCTGTCGCCCAGCACCCACTTGGGCTCGGTGGCCAGACAAAGTCAAGACGACCGGGGATTTGAACGAGTGCAGTGGCCAACAGAGATAAACAGCCCGTCTATGCGTGCCAAGCACGATGGACCAGGTTTTTACAGCTCGGATCCCATCGAAGTGGGGGTACGATGGAGTC